AAAAAAGGACAACCTAATCACCAATGTGATGGTATTGGGAGGTGGGGTCTCTGGGAGGCAGTTAGATCATGAGGGTGGAGCCCTCATGAATGGAATTAGTGCCCTTATAAAAGAGGCTGCAGAGAGTGGCCCGGCACCTTTCTTATGCAAATATGGAGATTGAAGATCCCTTCTATGAAAAAGCAAGTAGTCCCTCACAGGACACCAAATCTTCTGGTGCTTTGATCTTGGACTTCACAGCCTCCAGAACTGTGAGAAAGAAATTTCTATTGTTTATAAGCCACCACTTTATGGTATTTGGTTATAACAGCCCAAACACATGAATACAAAAGTATAAATTCCTATAATATTTGTATCTTTTTTATAATGAATGTATACTGTATTTTTATAATCAGAACGTAAGAATATAAAATTATGGAAACCCTATGCAGTAGATTTAACGAACAAAAAAAAGTGTACAGTTTATAAAAGAGAATGAATAAGTTAGTGTTAAATATCTGTGGTGTGATAATGATATTGTGATTATGTTCTTGTTCTTAGGAGATAACATGCTGAAGTAGTAAGGATGAAGTAAGATGATGTCAGCAATTTACTTTCAAATTGTCAAACAAAAAAGAAAGAGAGGGGAGAGAGAGAGCAAGAGTGAGAGCATGAATGTAAACAGGACAAAATGTTAATATTTAGGAAAAAAAGATAAAGTATATATGGGTAATCATAGTACTGTTTTTCAACTTTTCTATGGGTTTGAAAATTTTTTTTTTTGAGACACAGTCTCACTCTTACTGCCCTGAGTAGAGTGCCGTGGTGTCGGCCTAGCTCACAGCAACCTTAAACTCCTGGGCTCAAGCGATCCTCCTGCCTCAGCCTCCCGAGTAGCTGGGACTACAGGCATGCGCCACCATGCCCGACTAATTTTTTCTATATATTTTTAGTTGTCTATCTAATTTTCTTTATATTTTTGGTAGAGACGGGATCTCGCTCTTGCTCAGGCTGGCCTCAAACTCCTGAGCTCAAACGATCCGCCCACCTCAGCCTCCCAGAGGGCTAGGATTACAAGCATGAGCCACCGCACCTGGCCTGAAATTTTTTTAAGTAGCTGGGGTAAAATAATACTTAATAAGCATTTATAAAAATACTCATTATAATAAGTGGAAAAGATAGCTATGGGTGATTTCCTTCTTCCTTTTCTGTGGTTTCTCAATTTTAAATAATGAAGATGTAATATTTTGAGAATTGGAAAAATACATTTTTAATAGTGTATTTTAAAATTTGGATTTATGAGTAGAAAAGGATCTTTTTTTTCCAATAATTTTTTGAAATGAAAGTCATGAGGTATTTTTGTCCAATAGGATAATGATCTGTGTAATGGAAAGGAGTATGTGAATCAGCGATGAGATATTAATAATAGAAACCAGTTTGGGGGTTTTTTGTTTGTTTGTTTGTTTTGAGACAGAGTCTCACTCTGTTGCCTGGGCTAGAGTGCCATGGCGTCAGCCTGGCTCACAAGAACCTCAAACTCCTGGGCTCAAGCAATCCACGTGCCTCAGCCGCCTGAGTAGCTGGGACTACAGGTGTGTGCCACCATGCTTGTCTAATTTTTTTTCTATTTTTCATTGCTTATCTAATTTATTTTTATTTTTAGAAGAGCCTGGGTCTTGCTCTTGCTCTTGCTCAGGCTTGTCTCAAACTCCTGACCTCAAGCAGTCCTCCTGCCTCGGCCTCCTAGAGTGCTAGGATTACAGGTGTGAGCCACTACGCCTGGCCAGAAACCAGTTATGGAGCACCTTCAAATGTCAGGAAGTTTATAAACTCAACTTATTTAATCATCACAACAATGCTGTAAATAAGTATTAATAAATATCCAAACCCTTATAACTACTAAGTAACACAATAAAATTTGAAGCAAAGTCTGTCTTAGATTCCCAAAGGTTATATGCTATTAGTCTCTCATGGTGTGGACAGTCATTTATACTTGATTCCAAGCTATTGAAATAGTGAACTAATCTGGGCAAAAAGATATGTTCCTGGTAGTAGCTCCCACCTGATTAGAAATGTAGACTTAAAGAGTTTAACTAGAAGATGCCTTTGAAGCGACAAGCACAGGCTTCCCTTCCAATGCTGTCAGTACATTTTAGAAGAGTTTCTTTTTTCTTTCCCCCATAATCAAAACTTTATTGAAAAACTGACACCAAAATAGGAGATCACTGTTACACACCTTACAAAGTCAAATGTAATTATTTTGGTAGATTAACTAGAATTACTGAATTTATGATAAGGCTTTCTGTGAGATAACACAAATTCAGAAAGTTGTGTAGATCATTAGTGTTGCTTTCTTCTAAATGAACACCCTTCTGTGGGTCTGGGCTTTCCTCCTGCAGGCTGGCACAACACGGTTGAACAACCTACACAAAGAACTACTGTCTGAGCATGGCTGAAAACAGTGGTAATCTTGTAGCAACCTGGACGTTTTACATCCATAAAATAAGAGTTTGGACTTTGAACTAGCCGTTTCTTTTTAGGTTTTTTCTTTTCCTCTTCCAAGGAGAGATGTAGTAAATCTGTAGCCAAAGGCATCTTGATCCTTTCACAAGCCCAGCTGGTCCAGACCTCTCAGACAACACTCCTCGAGGAGTTTCTTTTTATTAACATTCAAAGTTGTCGAGTGAATCTGAATGATACTCAGGCAGTATAAATAGGAAAAGACAAATGCATTATGTTAATTGCTATCTAAACATTACCAACTAATTCCTTATGAGATCTTGTCAATGGATAAACTAGGGCCTCTTTCAAGAAAGAACAACCAACATCGCTCAGTGTTGCTCAGTCTGTAAAAATCATAGTCATCTACCCCTCGAGTGTTAACTAGTAATGATCCCTAAGGAAATTAATAGGTAGGAAACTCATGCTTACTTTCAATTAAATTCTGAAGTTAGGTTAAGGTAAAATAGCAACAAAAACACTTGGTTTTAGCTTGTTGGATGTAAAAGGGATAAAAAAATAATTATTTCTCTTTCGCTAAATGGATTCTCCTAAGTTCAAGGGAAATGTGAGTTGATTAATAGTAGATACTAATTCTTTCAACTTTTTATTTTGTTTCATTCTCTTCATTTTCTTTTGTTCCTTTTAATTCATTTTATAGATCAGTCATTATAAAGTTTATCCCAGGTTGGTTTCCCTCTTGTACCCAGCACGCTTTCCTGTCACTCTCCTCAGAGTTAATTCAGAGTGCCCACAAAGTACAAACTTTTAGCATGAGCTTCAAGAAAATAAGGTTTAGAAAGTAGGTTATAATCCTTGAAAAAAGTCACATTATAAATTTCGAAATAAGTAGTAAAAGTAAGCTATGTCTGAACCATAGTTCTCTCTTGGCATAGTAAGTGAAGTATTGATATCAAATTAATTCCTTTAATGAGAATTTAATAAGCAAATGCTTATTTCTCCAAATATCCTTTGAGAGTTAGAAACAAGGTAATAATTCAAAAACTAATAAATCATACAAATGTTTTTGATTAAAATGTAACTTAAAAGGAGTTTTGATTAATGAAAGAACAGCTTTCATTTTAATTATAAACTCTTTATTATTTGGCATTTATATACATCGAAGTATATATTTAACTGAATATTTTATACAAACTCTAGGAAAGTATTCCAAATACAAAATTATGATTATAAACTAAAACAATCAAGATACATCAAGGAAGCATGTGGTTCAGTGCCAAATTTACAATCGTATATCTAATATGTCACAATTCTTATATTTTGAAAAATGTTCACATAAGAACTCTAACATGGGCAATTAATTGGTAAAAGAATAAATAATTTTCATTATGTAGAACATAGAGACACATGTAAAATAAAAATACTAAAGTCTTCAGAATTGCTTTATGTTGTTGCTAGTAAGATAACAGAACCTAAAGCTATGAAGATCTGTCCAAGTAAAATATTTATAGTCAATGTGCCTTTAGCGCTTGTCTGGGAGAAGTAATATGTCAGCCACTTTTGAAAGAAGGATGGCCCACAATAGATACCAGGAAAATTTCTTCGACCACAGCCATGTCCGTAACTGGTAATTCCCATTACAAAAAATCTTTTACGTTCTGGTAAGTAGCACATTAACGGTCCACCACTATCACCCTATCAAAAAAGCCCCAAAATAGTGTTAGTTACTTCTAGTATTCGTTAAGCAGCAGTAGAACTGGGGAAAATTAATTACATTAAACATAGATTTATATAAATATACATTTTAAATATACCCCCAAATGTTGAAGATCCATAGATTTTGAATTTAATATTCCAACTCAAACAGGAGGTATTCAGTCTGCCCAGATATTTGGAGGAATTATACAATTGATAGATAAACTTCTCATCTGCATAGTTTGAACCAAAATACTATAAATAAAATTGTTTGGATTTTTTAATGCAATTACTCAGGGGAAATATAATTTAGGAAGTGTGTAAAATATTGCAAAACCTGTCTGTTAGAATATTTCTCTTAATACTGTGTGTGAAAGGCATAACTCTAAGATGTATGAAGGATTCTTTTAGGTTTATATGTGCTTTGCTAGCTAAAGAGGCATAAACTGGCATTTTGCAAGAGATGACATCTTTCTAAGTGTTGACATTGGGTAGCGTAGCAAAATGGGAACAAAGGGCAGAGATTCAGTGTATTATAAATAACAGATCTCTTTCACAGTTTATACAAGACTATTAATGCACCCAAACACCGGTTACTAAGACCTGTTAATGCACTCAAACCAACAAGGACACTGAAATAACTGTTTCAGTGCCTAAAAGTTAAAGTCTGTGTTTCTAAGGTGTTTCCAATTCTCTGTGTAAGGCAGGCATTGAATAATTACTTTTTGATGATAAGGATGTTTTGCCTAGGAATGCAATTCAATTAGATTGGATTCTTTACTTTTTTTTGTTGTTTTTTTTGAGAGAGAGTCTCACTCTGTTGCCTGGGCTAGAGTGCCATGGCATCAGCCTAGCTCACAGCAGCCTCAAACTCCTGGGCTCAAGCAATCCTCCTGCCTCAGCCTCCCAAGTAGCTGGGATTACAGGCATGCACCACCATGCCCGGCTAATTTTTTCTATATTTTTAGTTGTCCAGCTAATTTCTTTCTATTTTTAGTAGAGACGGGGTCTCGCTCTTGCCCAGGCTGGTTTCGAACTCCTGAGCTCAAACAATCCGCCTGCCTCGGCCTCCCAGAGTGCTAGGATTACAGGCATGAGCCACCACGCCCAACCTTTGGTTAACTCTTGTTTTTTCTTTCAGTACTTTGAATATGTCACTCAGATGTCTTCTAGCTTCCATTTTATCTGATAAGAAATCAGTCATTAATAATAACATTGTATCCTAATGTGTTATTTGTTTCCCCACCCTTCTAGTGACTCTTTTCAATATTTTTTTTTAGCAGTTTGACCATTTAGTCTGTGATAACTCCTATGATATCCTAGGTTCTTCTTATGTATTTCCTGCCCTAGCCCTGAGAGCAGTCATATGTCTAAGGAGCCTTTGCTCCTTTTACAGGGGAATGGTATTGAGAGACTAAAATCTGGGTGTTGGGGTACATGTTGTATTTGGTTGTTCATTGTATCTGGGCCTTCACAGTTAGGAGTTAGGAAATACTATTACTTACTTTAAAATAAATACAATTACTCATTTTATGAATGTGGGATGTGAGGGCACTGGAACATGAGGGTGCCTGGAACATATGTTCAATCTGTCATTTTGATCTAATCTTTCAAATTTTACTTAAAAAGTACTATGATTTGAATGTTTGTTACCACCCAAAATTCATATGTTGAAAACCTAAGGTGCAGTGGCTCACACCTATAATCCTAGCACTTTGGGTGGCAAAGGTGGGAGGATTGCTTGAAACCAGGAGTTCAAGACCACCCTGGGCAACACAATGAGACCTTATCTCTACAAAAAATAGAAGAAGTAGCTGGGCATGGTAGTATGCACCTGTAGTCCCAGCTACTCTGGAGACTGAGGCAGGAGGATCACTTGAGCCCA